TATATATATATTCATTTTTTATAGATATTTAAATTAAAAAATAATAATCAATAACTAATTATTAACTAAATAACTAATGAGTAACTAATTATGTCATGTGACTTTTTTTAGGCTGTCATTTGGCTTAAGGAGAGGATTTTGTCCTCTCCTTTCAATAATAATATAGATATTATCCTTGTACCATTCAGAAGCTTTTTAAGTACTATACTTTATTTGACATTCTTTGTTTATCATAGTAGTTTAATCATTTATTAGTTCCTAAATGGTACTATATTTGAATTTGTAATTTTAATTTAGAGATTATTTGAGTGATTGTAAATTTTTATTATCAATATAATTAGATTTAATTTAATTTAAGAAAATTCAGAAGAACGTGAAGATGTTAAAAAAAGGTTCAAAACAACTATATAGCATATTATGACCAACAACATTTTGGGTCCTGGTTCTAAACAAACTTTAAATAATTAAAAGTAATAAAATAACTTAACCCTGTCAATTTCTCCATTGTTGTTGGCGTCAATTATGTGTATACTCCAGTGTTTTATTACAAAAAGTAATGATTATTAAATGATAATTCATGCTCTTTCTTTTTAAATAACAAGCCGTTTAAATTCGATTGATTTATGTAATGGCAATTACGCATGCTATAAATTTTATGTTCAGCATATGGTCAATATAAAAGTTAGCATTTTATACTCAAATTTTTCCTTTTAATGTTTAGTTTTGAAAAAATAGTGTCATAAAATTAAAAATTAATTTGTAAAGACACAAAAAACTATTTCATCCAAAATTTCTAGTGTACTTTTTCCATGATTTTTTTTAATATCTTAGAAAGAGATATTTGGCTTACAAACGGAAATTTATTTTCCCTTCTTAGGCTAGCACTAACCCAAGCGAAGATCTTTGTAATTTACGGTATTTACTCTATTCTTCGTATTCTTATTTTATTTTATTTTTCACTCTCTTATTTAGTCAATAATATTTTGACTAATATGATATTTCGCATTAAATAATTAGCCCTTTTTTTGTATGGATAGTAATTATTCCTTTACCAGACTTTCTAATTTTTTGTAATTCTTTAGACCATAAACTTTGAAAAAGAAAAATACTTCTTGCTGCATTATCTTTCAAACTTCAATATAGAATGAAATGAGAACTTCAACGCTCTCCGGTAAAAATATGAAAGGTATCAAATACGTAGTACTTTAGCACATACATATTTATTAATGACAATAGAAATTCAAAAATATATCTATAAAAAAAGGAGGATGAATGAATTAAATAATTAATGCTCATAATATTATTTTTATAATAGATGTTCTCATTTTAAGTTTTTTTTTTTCCTTTTCAAACAATTGAATGAAACGGAAAGGTAACCATTTTTCTATTTTGCTCTTTTATAAAATATAGTTTCTGGCAAAATTGTTGAAGCTATATAGCGTTATAACATTAATGATTAACTTGAATAATTATTTTTAATTAATAGAATATTAATTGGATCATATATCAAGTATATTATATAATGATAGACTAAGTTTAGTTATAATATAATCATAATATTAGATAACTTAAATCTGAATACAAATAAGTGTGGTAACTTTCTTTCAATCTAAATCACATAAAAATTTTGAAAAGTTGAAAAATATGTTTTCCTACTTTAAATCTCATTTTATTTTCAAATATTTTCATAGTACAAAATAACAATTCCTTTCCCTCTTAATTTTTTCTGAAGATTTTCTTAAAATGTTTCTTCTTGTTTATAAAATGACATTCCTTTTCCCTTAATTTTTCTAATGATATTGTTAATTTTTCCTTGTTTAACGGAATGATGACACTCCTTTTCCTTTTTCTCGAAGATTCTCTAAAATATTGTTTGTGGTTTGATAATTCAACAACTTAAATCCATCTACACATTTTTTTTTTATAAACTAAATTTAACATTGAAGTGTTTCCCAAATTAAACTTTAATTGACCCACTTAAACTATTGTGGCTTTCAAGCTAAATAAAAATATTATTAGCTGTGATGTTTATGATGCTATCCATTTTAATATTAGCTATTTTAGATGTAGTCATGATAAAGAAAAAGTTCAAACTGCAATACCACAAAATTTACATTTAAAAACTGAACTTTTTTAACCTTTGGAACTATGCAAATTTTTTAAATTGCAAACAACACAGTTTTGCCTATTAGATTAAAGACCAAAATGACAATACATGGATAAAAAAAATAATAAGCATCAAATAGAAATTCATTTTGTCTATAGCTTATTTAAATAAATCGGAATCAAAAAGTACAATAGGTAGATTTGTATGGTATATGACAAGATTCCAGAATGAATATGTAGCCTACCTCTCTCTAATCTCTATTCTATCTCCTAACATT